AATTTCTATGAATAACAATAAGCATTGAAGAAAATTCAGAACATGAAAAATAAAGACAAAACAGATTGAAACTTTCTGCAAACAATAATGGTGTTTAATGGACTTCAGTTATGGCCAGATGTATCAATTACTGCATCAGAAAACTCTAGCATGTTGACAGCACTATAATAAGTGGTTTGCTGTGAAGTTAAACACTAAACAAATGCAGTTACAATCACAATACGCTAAAATCCCGAGAGAAAGTAACCTAAATATATTTTCTGCCAATAAAAGTAGTCGCTTCACTTCGCCTGGTCAAACCTTTAATATGAACACATTTAAGAGCAGATTTAAACACTCTTTCAGTGTACGTAAGATCCTGCAAATAAATTACAAGCGTGACACTTTAAAAACAACGCAGCTCTAAAGCTTTACAACTAATTTTCCAAATGCAAAAAAAAAAAACAAACAAAAAAAACAACAACTTGTTAGACTGTACAAACAATGTTACATTTCATTACAATTTTCAACAGGTGTTAAGACAATTGTCAGTGGCGTAAATCAACAGTAAATACAACTATAAAAGTACATCATTGAGATCAAACCAGATTTAAGATCCTCCTCCTCCCCCCCCCCAAAAAAAAAAAAATCTGGAAATACATAAAATTTAGGAAAATCTAAAGGTCTAGTCTTTGACTATTGGCCATAACGTCACAGTGTGGTTACACAGGTCATGGATAGACAGGAATGTTGTTATTGGAAAAGGGTCTCCTCAGGCCCAGCAAACAAAAGGCAGATTCAATCCATGTCCAAGCCTATTCATGCATTCGTCCTGTGCTCATCAGTATTTGCCAAGCTCACACTGGGCAGTGATAAAGCCATTCTAATTACTGGGTTGTCCTTTTGAACTAGCCAACTCCTGATTTTTAAATAGGTTGCTTAGTCATAGGTCCACATTTTCGCTTCACCAGCAGTTTCCCGTTGACTCAATATCATAACATTGTCACTTCAAATGTCTTCATCATCTGGAGTCTCTTTTGGTGCCCTTTAGTTGTTCTCTTGTGAAACTGTGGTTTCCTAAGAAAGGGTTGGGAAGAAAGACAATTTTAGACTAAGATAAGGTCACATTTTCCTTTATGTCAAGTCCTGAGCAAAGCTAAAACAGGAATGTTTACAGTCATGGTCTAAACGGAGACATGTAATGTCTGTAAAATAGCCTCGAACAGTTGTTGAGAACTATGGACGTATGCCGCGCTAGGTTCACTGTGTGCTCACACAGATATACTTATCTTATCTCGCATGTTTGGTGTTGCAATCAAATGAACTTAATTAACAGTGTTATGACCAAGGTATGCTTATACAACTTGTAGATTTAAGATAAGGCTGATGCTCTTTGGCAGGGCGGCCAAAACAGGCGGAGGTCCGACAGTGTAATTGGTCTTGTTTTTCCCCCCTTTGTGTAATTATTAATAACTAATTTATTGAAGACCTTGACGAACTGATTCTAGTTTATAATAAATTGACCTTTATTGATTATTCTCTCCCTCTGTCTGTCTGAACTTTAACACTCTTATATGTTCAATACCTAACTCTTCTGTTCACTCAAGCAACTTTTTGTTAAAGCTGAAGCATTTGGAAGCACAATAAAGTAAAGGAGGGAAAGGAAATGGAAACTTTCTACTAATTCTTGAATCTTAAAGGAGTGCTGCCTTCATTCTTTATGGGCTCTGCTTAATGAAAAAA